GGACAGCTGGAATGCTATGGTCTCATGTGTGTCTAACATAGGCTGAAATCCTAAATATCAAGGTGATGGTATTAAGGAGGTAAAGCCTCTTGGGAGACAATTAGGCCATGAGGTTGGAGTCCTCATGAATAGGACTAATGCCCTCATAAAAGTGGCCCCAGAGAACTCCCCTTTCCCTTCCACCACGTGAGGACCCAGTGAGAAGGCACCATCTACAAACCAGGAAACAGCATCCTCACCAGACACCAAATCTGCAAGTGACTTGATCTTGGACTTCTAGTCTCCAGAACTGTGAGAAATAAATATCTGTTGTTTATAAGTCACCCAGTCTGTAGCATTTTGTTACAGCAGTGTCAATGGACTCAAAAGAGTCTCCCACAGGATTTCCCTTCTTCATTGGTTGAGGCATAGGACTCCACAGCCTCCGAAGGAGGATGAGTCAAACAGGGAAAGAGCCTGGGCTCTGAATGACTTCAAGCCCAGAGAGCCCCTACCCCCAGCCCACCCTGGACTCTGCCATGGGTGAGAGATAAACCTTTTAGGATTAGGCTGAGAGTTGGGGGTGGTCTGAATTACCAATCAGCTTATTGTAATCAGCCTATTGCAATTACCTATCAATCAGTCTACTGTAATCAATCAGCCTATTGTAACCAATACCCTCTCCTAGGGGACACTGACCCCAGTAATTGGAAGGAAAATGACAAGTCCTATGTCAGAGTGAGCTCCTGGTAGGGCAGGGCTAGGACCAGCATTTTCCAACTACAGCCTTGGACAAGGGGGACAGACAGCCAGGACCACACACTACAGCCTGGACAGCACCAATTCCCAAAAAATTTTATTTCTTGTTTCAAGTGGCAAAACGTCATTGGTCTCTGTGGGGCGCCTGGCAGGGCGGAGCGAGACCTGGGGTGAGGCAGGGGTAGAGCCCCGCCCATTACAAAAAAATCAAAGGCTTTTATAAAAAATGCTATAAATTGGTATTAAAAAAAACCCAAGGGAGGCTGGAGGAGGAAGCAGAGAGGGAGAAGGAAGACAGAGGGAGGGACAAAACCTTCGACCACTAGTGACAAAATCGAGGCTGGCGGGGGGAGATGTGGAGGGGGGGAGTTGGGAGGGTGATACAAAGTGCATAAATGTGCCTCCCCAGACGCTCCTCAGAGGTGGAGGGGGACAGAGGCTGCAGCCCGGGACATGGTGGGGCTCCAGGGGCGCCCAGGGACGCCACAGGAGTGGGCACTGCCTGAGACCACCAGATAGGAAGAACCTGCAAGGTGAAGGGAGGAAGAGAGGTCAAGGGAGGCGGCCATGGAGGCCACCGCCTCCTCTTCCCCCACCCACTTCCGGGCCCAACCTGGCTTCTCCAGCAGAGCCCAGGCATGAGAAAGGTCCCCGCTGTGGCCTGGAGCCTGGTGTGTGTCCTGAAGGGTTCTACAGCAGAAGGGCCAGCTGACCACACCCGGGTCAGCCACAGGGCCTGGGGGGCGCTGACCCTGAGCCCAGGGAGGCAGACTGGAATGGAAGCCCTCCTCCTCTTCCACCCCAGGTCTGATACCACCCTGCCCTGTGGACAAAATCTAGCGGGGTCTCCTGAGTCTGTGGAACTTGGCTTCACTTGCCCATTTCCAGCCTCGCATGTTAAGGTGGATGGGGCTAAGGGCTAGTGGGGGGCAAGGCCCCCCCGAGGTCTCCAGGAAAGACCCTGTGCACATCTGAACCCAGATTTCCCAGCCCGGAAACCCATCCTCACCTCAGTGACTTCTCAGACCTTCTTCTTCTTCAGCTTCAGGGCTTGCAGCCAGTTGGGTGATGATCCTTCTGACCTAGAAGACAGAGGGCAAAGGTCCAGAAGGTGACCTTTGGGGAAACTGAACAAAAGGAGGAAAGGCAGTAGGGATGGAAACCATGCCCCTCCACCCCCCAACAGAAGAGGAAGCCTAGGGCCTGGCTGCAGGGAACGAAACTCAGCCAACAACTTCATACGGTTCACTGGGGCATGTCAACCCCCTCTCTGAGCCTCAGTTTTCGTCTTCTGTGAAGTGGGGGTTTCCCTTTCAGGCCAATGCAATGAGGTGTCAGTGGATCCCCAGAGCTTAGGTCACCTACCCTGAGGATTTCTCTGGCTTGGGAGGTAATGTGAGGGGCTTCCCCAACCCCGGGACCTTGCAGGACTTGGAGCGCTGGACCGCAGACTCCTTCTGGCTTGACTTGCTCTCTGCCGCCTCCCCCTCCTCAGCTGAGCGGTTCCGGGGTCGCAGCTTGGCCTGAGAACAAGCCCAAATGAAGACAGATGTCAGATTCACCTGCAGGATTCACAGGACCAGGCCTTCTCTCAAGCGGGTGCAGCCCCCAGAGTGAGAGAGAGGAACTAGGCCTTCTCCCAAGAGGGTGAAGCTCCCAGAGTGAGAGAGAGACCCTCTGTAGTCCTTCTGCCCAGAGATCTGGGGAGTCCCTTAAAGACTCACTTCCCTCAGAGCTGAGCCACGCCTTGCACACAGTAGGTCCCCAAAAAGATACCGCTGGACTGAATTCAGACAAACTGGGCAGGTTGAAGCCAGTGGTGACTGCCCATCTCCTCTCCCTCCACCCAGCCCCCACAGCCAACTCCTATGCCTGCCTCAAAGCTAATGTCAAACGCTTGCAAGAGGCCTTCTCCATTCACGCTCCCACCCTGCCACCCCACTGTTAGGAAATAACTTCTCCCTCTCTGACCGGGCCCAGCCCTTATCTGTGCCTCCCCAGTGATACCTAAACCTGCCCTTCCACCTGAGCCAGCTATGGGCATGGCTCGTGTCCCCCACTGTCCCTGAGGTTCTGGGACAAGAATGTGCCCAGTCTTTCCTTCCATCCCACTTAGACACAGCATGGGGTCCGGTCGGGCACAAAAGGATCTTCTGAGGTCCCCAGTGGAGAGCAGAGTGAGAGGAGGAATGGGAGAGGGAGTGGGGGACTAAACAGACGGATGGCAAGGAGAAAGGCAGGACATAAGGTGGCCGGCCAGCTGGCAGGACATGTTTGCTAATAATCAGGAGGTACCTTCAGAGCTGATGGGCTCAGGCCAGGAAAGAGGTTGACTTTCAGCCCCTTGGTGCCCAGAGACATCCGTGTCCGGCGACTCTGAGGCTCTTCCACCACCTCGTCGTCAGAAGATGGCACCCGAGAAGCCCGTGGCTCTGCAAAGACCCAAGGAGGGGGGCTCAGCACAGGTGGTAGCACACCCAGAGCCCCCCGCCATGGCCCCTGCACAACCTGGGCCTGACATCCCCAACATCAACAGACACCACCATCAAATAAGACATCAGCCCTACCCGTGGAGTCCTGGAACAGGCGTGCGTCTGAGTCCGCTGCCTCCGACAGGCCCAGGGTACCCCCGGGCCGGATTGCCGGGGCCCGATGCCCACGCTTGCGCCCCAGGCTGGCACGGCTCCGAAACATGGCACTGTCGAGGATCTCAGTGTCCTGTGCGGGACAATGATGACACCACTGCCATGGCCGCCCCATGATCCTGCCCCACCCCACAGCAGACCCGCAACAGCAGCTGGCCAGGAGCCGGTGCTTCCCGCAGATGCGGCCAGGGCTTCCCGTTCATGCGACGCACCCACAGCTGCTTGGGGACACTCCAGGAACGCGGTTCAGCACCCACGTCCCGCCATGACAGCCCACCCACTGCCCCGGGCTCACCCTCCACTGACCTCGATGAAGGCAAAGTCCTGACTGGAGGAGCTGGGAGGAGGCCCTTGGGGGACGCGCCGAGGGGTGCGGCCCGGCCCCTGCCCGGCCCCTGAAGGGCCCCAGGTGCCATCCACGTCTTCTGCCCGGCTGGCCTCGCCATCCGGCTGGGGCCTCCAGGAGGGCAGAAGGTCCCCACAGGGCTCCAGAGGCTCTTCTCCGTCAGCACCTGCTGCAGCTCCTTCCTCCTCCGAGAGGCCCCTAAGGCTCGAGGCCGCCGACTCCCTACGGACCGCCTGGGAGCTGCTAGCTGCCAGCATCTCCTCCAGCAGGCCGTGGGAGCCAGAAGGAGGAGAGCGGGCCCGGCACTCACCGGGGCTGTGAAGGGGAGGGAGAACAAGGTCACCCATGAGGTCCATCCGCCTCTCCAAAGGGAGCCCACTTCACACGATCCTTCCCCCACCCCAGCCACTCTCTTTCCTTCCATGCTTTCCCCAGGCTCTTTCAGCAAGCATGTGCTCAGGGCCTTGAGCCACACAGCACACAGGGAAGGGGTGCACCTAGCTGGTGGGTTCAAGTCCCTGGGGCCTCAGGTGAGTCCCTTCTCCTAGAAATGCCTCAGGTTCCTCTAGGAGTCATGGTGGGGGGAATGAAATAAGAATCTAAAGAACTTAGCACAGATCGGGTGCGGTGGCTCAATCCTGTAATCTCAGCACTTTGGGAGGCAGAGGCAAGAGGATGGCCTAAGTCCAGGGATTCAAGACCAGCCTGGGCGACTAGGTGAAAACTAGCCTGGCATGGTGGTGCTTGCCTGTAGTTCTAGCTGCTTGGAAGGCTGAGGGGGAAGCATCACCTGACCCCAGCAGGTGGAGGCTGTGATGGCCATGCGCGTGCCACTGCACTCCAGCCTAGGTGACAGAGTGAGACTCCAACTCAAAAAAAAAAAAAAACTAGCCGGGCTCGGGGGCTCAGCCTGTAATCCCACGCCTCGGGAGGCTGAGGTGAGTGGATTGCCTGAACCAGCAGGTTCGTGACCCGCCTACGCAACTTGGCGAGACCTTATCTCCACAATAAATTAAAAAATCGGCCGGGTGTGATAGCGCATGCCTGTAGTTCCAGCTACTTGGAAGGCTGAGGCAGAAGGATGGCTGGAGCCCAGCAGGTCGAGGC